TATTTTCTATGCAACTGTCATTGAATTTCTGTATATGTAATGTATTTCATGGGGCAAAGGGAGACTCAGGAACGTAACTCCCGTATTTTATCTATTTCTTAAGAAAAAATTTATTTGCTTAATGTTTTTTGTATAACGTTGCATTTTCAGGAACATACCCTCGACGTTAAGTGAGGACTTACTTTACAGTACAGGAATGTGCAGTTTAGCAATCAGGATACATTCATAAAAGACAGATCGTTAAGTGAAGTGATTGCTGAATGAACAGAAATGAGAAATATCTTAAACAATGGATAATGAGGAATAATATCCGTGGAAATGGCACTCAGAGCGGGTGAGGCTGAGCTGTGAGATATGTTATTCTTCAACTTGTAATTTCTTGTACTCCGTTACATGCACACACATTCGTTATACAGAATGTGCAAAAAAATAATAATAATTATCATAAAGTCAAAAACATAAAGGGAATACAGAAAACCATTGCTATTCACAAGGGTTAGATTCCAAGGGATGGCACGAATTGGCAAAACCACGATTAACAACTTATACTACCTTAGTGCACTACTGTATACCTATACTGTGTATGAGAAACTTAAGTCACCAGTACTACTTACAATTGTATGTGGAATTTTGTAGACATCTGGTTCCTGAAGCATAGGGGATCATCAGGATCTCTGTTGGAAGAGGGTGATGCAGCGGTGGTTGATGGAGAGGCAGGTGGTGGAGAGGTGTGTGGCCGGGAGGTGAAGTGGTGGGTGGCTGGGAGGAGGGTGAAGTGGCAGCGGTAGTAGCTGACTGAGTGAGGGAGGGAGACAAACCAGCTGGTCAAGCAGCTGGTTCTTTCTTGAAAAACATCATGATTGTTTCCTCTTGGCTTAAGGTCTTTAAACATTTCCTGGTGGGGAAACAATACCTGGTTGATTTCTCGGACCATCTTAAGGCTCCATTCCATGGAAGGGTCATGGTCAACAATGAAATCAGTTACCACCTTCACATTTTGAAACAGTTCACCAAATTTTTTCAAGCCCCAACCTTCTTGTTGAAATTACATAATTTCTTCTGCTTCATCTTCCTCAGCACCTTTTACCAACTCTTCCGAATCCTCTTCTGCCAGTTCCTCTCCACGACCATCAATCAGATCTTCCACGTCTTCAGCAGCCATGTCCACAAACCCCTCACCACCCAACTGACGTCAACACCCACAATGTTAATCACATCCTTTACTATGAATGGAAATCCCTGGAAGTTATTCACACACTCAGGCCAACAAGCATTCACCGTCTCTGGTTTGAGTTCATTGAATGCTTCACTGATATTGGTAATGCAGTCTGCAATGCTATACTCCTTCCAACATCAAGGTCAGGAGCTGCATCCATGGCTTTTTATGTTTTAACTATGTTTTTGTCATGAGCAACCTGTGCCACTTTAGCATTTGCAGAAGCACTCGCTTGAAAAAAATCACAAATTGCTTGTTCACTCTCTCTTATGTACTGCAGTGTGAAATAAATCAACTTTCTTTGTCAGGGTCATCACTGACTTCTGCCTTTTACATTTTACTCCACTAGCATCACTAGCACTGACACTAGGCAGTCTTTTAGGGGCCATTTTCACACAGAAACACTAAAGTTTTAATAGTACAACACGAGATGCTGCGTCGCAGACAACGGTTGAGTGCGAAGAGAGGGAGAGGAGACGCTGCGGGTGCGTAGGGTGACTCATTGCGCTGTGGGAGAGGCTCGCAAGAAAGCCACCATAGCCACCACTTGCTTACCATGAATCGTCGAAATCTCGAATTGCAAACCCGCAAATGGCAAGGGTTTACTACAGTAAACAGATCTTACCTGGTCCACCTGTTAACTGACAAGAGCAGGAGGGGAGGGAGGAGTAATCACTTAAGTACACAATATCACTTTAGTACAGGGTAACGAACAGTCCGTACAATACTCAATAACATGCCGAAGTCACAAAAATGACAGCGATGTAGAGCAATAGGAACGATGTATACAGTATTCGATAATATACAGAGCAATATAGAAAAGCATCAATCACAATGTTCAAGGCAGAGTAAACACCAGTGAAATAAAGGCCTGGGTTCATAGGTGGTGCGTCGGTAGCATACCCCTACAATATGTAATTTCCATATAATAAACCTAGATAGGTACAGTACCCTCCCTGGTTACCAACAAAATAATTTTTAAAATCATTTCGAAAATTTAGATTGGCTGTTTCAAAAGTAGTATCTTATATAGCAGCTCCTTTTCCAAGTGGTTTAACGTTGGCCATGAAAATACTGTAAAATGTTGCCACGATCTCTGAGTGGGCCAGGAAACATACAGCATCACTCTCGGCATTTATTTTACACCACTTAATTTTTTTATTTCCACCTTATTTTAATATTAATATTTAATATTAATGATTATATAATACAGAATAGGCAGGTGAATAGAAAATTATTGTTTTTTTTTTTACATTATTAACTAACCCGGGCACAGGTCAACAACCCACATCAGGGCCTAGGGGCAAAAATAAAAATAAAAATAAAAATAAAAATAAAAATTAAAATAATAATAAAAATAATAATAAAAAAAAAATAAATAAATAAAAATAAAAAAAAATAAAAAAAATAAATAAAAAAATAAAAATAATAAAATAATAAAATAATAATAATAATAATAATAATAATAATAATAATAATAATAATAATAATAATAATAATAATAATAATAATAATAATAATTTATAAAAAAATAAAATATTCTTACCGGCTAAATAAAAATACAATATAATAATAATAAGATAATGCAGCAGAACGTCGATTTAAAGCGATTCAATTTAAGATTATTGATTTAAAGCGACACCCACAATTAAGGACAATGTTTTAATTTAAAATGAAAGTTTCCAATTTTGTGCACATCAATCTGGTGCATCATATTTTAAAATTTGCGCCTAATGTTTCTCTGGGCATGCTACACTGTCCTAAGGGCAAAGCTGTACTGTACATGTACTCAAAATAATGTACTAAATGATTTCTAAAATTTTTGTCTAGTGCAAACTATAGTATAGCATGATTATATTCAAATTAATCACTACCTTATAAGAATTCCAGCAATTAAAATTATGCTCTCCCAGGTCACTTCAGTGACATTTTATAAACAAAAAACAAAAACTCAATCTAAAGGACATAAATAAACAAATAAATACTTCACTAGACCTTTGGCCTCAACTGTCAAACGTGTCACTGTAACCTCCACTTCCTCCCCTCCCTTCCCTCTTCCCAGCCAGGGTTAAGTTTTTATCTTATATAATATCACAGACTAATGTTAGGAGAATATAATTTGCATTGCCGTCGCCCCTCCCGCACTAGATGTAGCTCTTCAAATGTGCAATTTCTGTGGATGACCCTGCCGGTCCCGTATTGGCCTCTCGAGTTGCCTCATAGCTAACCAATGAAGGTGACATCCTTAATAACTCATATCATTGTATCATAGCTGGTAGAACATCATACTCGATTCCGAGTGACAGTCAAGTAGTAGAGTATTCGTAGATGCTGGGGTGTATGGGTGGTGTTGGAGGGTGTATGGGTGGTGATGGAGGGTGTATGGGTGGTGTCGGAGTGTGTGTGTGTGTGTATGTGTGTGTGTAATGTTGGGTTGAGTGGAAGGTGTTGGAGGGAGCCAAACCTTTTTAAGGGATGAGGGGGGAGGTTACGCAGTCAGTTTTGTCTCGCCTGCCTTCCCTCCTTCCTCACTCAAGCATCTGCTAATTGTGATAAGGTGGGAGACCTGATGCTATATCAGGTCATCCATTGTTGAAGTGGGGGAATAGTGGGTCTTATGACGTGAAGATGTCTTGAATAAAAACAAAAGCTATGGTGCTCCAGTGTTTCCTTCTTACTGAATCTTACTGAATGTACACTCGCACCAAAAAGTATCGGTGCAGGGTGAGATCGACGAGTTCCGAAACGATACGTATACACTGTGATATGTCGGGAAGGTTGGTAAGTGTATCCTCATAACCCCCCCCCCCCACTAGGTGTTTAAGTGTTGCCATATGGCTGACAATCAGGGCTGCCAACATAAAGCTGGAACAACTCGCCTTTCCCAATACTTATCGTCACTGGTCTCAAATTCTTCACACTACAGTATGCACCGATACTTTTTGTTGCTAGTGTACAATATTGTATATGTAACTGTCATCACTTTAACATCTTAATGCTGCTTTAACACTGTTTTTTTGGCTGATTTTGCTCTGGTACAATAATGTACAGCACTGCACAACACAAATTTTACACAAAAACAGCAGCTAGTGATGGAACAACCTTCTACATTGGCAGCAGAATATGAGCCAAGTGATCAAAACAAGTAAGTCCCCCACACGCTTCGCACTTGGCGATGGGTTCGAGCACGATGCAATCTTTTGGAATGCCCAGAAAATTTATTCCCAGACCCATAAATATAAATTTGTTGACTTTTTCCAGAATTTTCTTGAAATTTTCATAAAATGCACCTGATTTTCAACTTCAGAATTTGTTCACAAACCCAGAATTGAGAATTTTAGCAGAAAAATTCCAAGCAGCTCTCAATTCCAGCTATTAGAGAGTTCTGGCTAAGGGGGATTCCAGCTAATGAAGATATTACTCTACTCACAAAAAAAATTAAAAAAATTAAATAATAATAACAATACTACTACTACTACTACTACTACTACTACTACTACTACTACTACTAATAATAATAATAATAATAATACAGTAATGACAATAACAACAACAAACATCAATAATAATAATAATAGTTATCACAACAATACAGTAATAATAACAAAAATACAGTAATAATAGCTGGTCACACTGATAGCCTGGTCTCATGCTACTCTTACTTTTCAATAATCAACTAAATATTGCCACCTATTCTAAAGGGTATTCTTTGTTTTCATGTAAATAGTCCCAGTTACATAATATTACTCAAAACTTTTTTTAAAAACATGTTAAGAGTTCTCACCTGAATGGATTAGGTTGTTTATGGTGTTCAGGAGACTGCAAGATTCCACGTGTGGTCAAGTCATTTTTCCAGGTTTGAGTGAATTTGTCCCGCAACTCAGGTAAGAGGGGTGTCAGATATGTCAGACTTGTAGCTGCCAGCAAACACTTGCCCAACAGCTGATTTGAAAGCAATTCTTGACTTTCTATTTCTGTTCGCCATCTGTCAAGGAATGATATAAATACTTATAAACATGATATAATAAGTGACAGTGCAAAAGATTGAGATACAGTATACTCTCGCTTTAATGGAATCAGATATAATGAACTCTCGATTTAGCGGAAAGCATTTTTTCGTTATTTTTCCCTCGATTTAGTGAACTAGTTCACTAAATCGAGATTAATTCCGTTAATACACTCACACCTACAGACACACACCTCAGACACATTACACAGTAAAACCTACTTCAGCCTATGGCAAATGTACTAAATGTAAAAAGAAAAAGAAATAATGATAAAGCAATTACTGTTCTGGAAAATCTGAGAAAATGGTGAGAAAATCACTCCAAACCTTTCTGCTCAGGGCCTGGGGACAAAGGTTCCCTGCATTATGAAAGATTGCATCATGTTTAACCACATCCTCACATGGTTGGTGCGTGGGTGGGAAGACCAACAATGGGTTTTGCTGGATTTTTCTGCTCTGGGTCTATTTATAATTATAAACAAATGTTTCTTAATATGTACAGTAGCTAAAGCAACTATCTTTGCATACTTTGTGGGAAACAATACGAGACCATGGACGATAAATTTTGGTATCTGAGGGCTGTCACTAATCACACGTGAAATTTTGGAACATATCGACCCCCCCCTGCACAGACAGTTGTTTTAGCTACTGTACATACAATATTAAAAAAGTAAAATACTACAGTTATAAATCAATGTAACTCTGAGCTGCATTAATGAGATAGTGAGGTGACAAGGCAGTAGGTGAGGTAACAGACCAAGACACTTATGCATCACACACATTAACAGCACTACTAAGCCATTGTCTCATAACATTTTACTATATAATTCCCATTTTAAAATTAAATGATACATGATGGCTCGATTTTGGTACATTTGCACTTAGACAACTGATCAGTGAATAAACCAGGGCATATGGAGATGTATCATATACTAGTGATGTCACAAAGCTTCAGAACTGCAACCACAATGCATAAATTATCTTAACCTGTACTCAAATGTACTAAGTTAATTACAAAAATGCTTATGTCTAGTGCAAACTTTGGGATGTTTAAACTCAAATTAATCGCCATCTTACAAGAATTCCAGCAATGCAAGTTATATTCTGCTAAGTCAATTCAGTGACATTTAATAAGCGAAAAACTTAAACTCCCTGGTTTGTATAATCATAAGTCCCTGTCTCCATGTCTCCACTGAAAACTACACATTAATCTCCCCTCCTGTCTCTCAACATCCACCTCCCCCTTCCCCTTTCTCCCAGCCAGCAGGGGAGGCAAGATGGTGGTGGGTGATAAAGATTTTACAGATGAAGGTGGTTTTAGGCCCGGGTGGGCTATTCCCCATAAATAAACTGTCTTCCGAGATAGAAGACGAGCCGTGGTCACCATGATTGACCAGACCGTACAAAAAATTGCCCCAAACACAATATCCGAGAGACATAATCAAAATAAAAGTCACTCAATTTCCTCACCGTTCTATTGCAACACAAATTAGCTGAGCTTTCCTTGTGCGTGTTAACAGCTGATTCGCCAGGCAAAAAGATGACAGTGGCAGTGCGTGTGATGGAGGGTGCGAGAAGAGGTTTTGAGAATTGCAATTAAATGCCAGGTAGCGACGTGTCCTCGTAATATTACGTATTTAAGTAATTATTAGATGTTTTAATTGCCTGTATGTTGGCCTGGTGAGTTAATGCAAAGCATATACAAACGTAGGTATAAAGCTAGACGTCGCATTCTTGATTGAACAAAAATGTATATATATTCTGCCAAGTCAATCCAGTGACATTTTATAAAAAAAATTTCAACTCCCTCTATATGACATATAAAGACGCACTTGGTAACCTTCGCCGCCCGGCTATCAATACCTCACCTCACCTCACCTCCTCTTCCCCATCCTCCCAGCCAGGGTGAAGATGGTTTTACGCTTAAAGTTTTATCTTATAAAATGTCACGGAATTGACTTGGTTACTGTTTGATCTCAAGAGAGAAAAATTTTGTAGCAAATTTTCAACTCATATTTTCTGGTAGATATACGTAACTTTCTTCATTTATTTATACCATTTACATGCACACATCATCCTAAATATATACTGTGAAAAAAGTAAAAGAAATAATTGTCCTAACAGCAAACCTGTACTCAAATGTACTTAATTAATTACTAAAAATTTTATCTCTTGTGCAAACTATGTGATGTTTATACTCAAATTAATTACTATCTTGTAAGAATTCCAGCAATGTAAGTTATATTCTGTCATGTCAATTCAGTGACATTTTATAATAGCAAAACTTAAACTCCCTCTACTTGACAACTATGCACTTCATTATCTCCCCTCCCAAACAGCTCACCCCCCTCCCCCTTCCTCCCAGCCAGGGTGAAGGCAGATTTAGGCTTAAAGTTTTTTATCTTATAAAATGTAGCTGAATAGACTAAACAGAATATAAATTGCATTGCTGGAATCCTTGCAAGATTGCAAAGAATTTGAGTATAAACATCACATAGTTTGCACAAGAGATAATTTTTTTTAGTCCTTTAGTGTAGTACAAAGTGTGTACAGTAATATTGCTCAAAATTATGACTTTTTCACATTTAATTTACATTTAATATTTGTTTAATTTATGTTTCGAGCAGTCTATAGTGCTTTAGAGACACAGGAGGTATATAATTAGTAGGTCAGTGGTGTACAGTCAACCCTCACTTTACGCGGTCCCACATTCCGCGTTTCCACGTTTACACGGTGCCCTGCCAGAACCCAGGATGCTCACATTCCGCAGTGGGTGTACCCCTTTACGCAGGTGAAGTATAATTATTTAATTTAACTCATAAAATTCATACAAATTATCCGGCCAGAATATAATTTACATTGCTGGAATTCTTACAATTTGATGATCATTTTGAATATAAACATCATAGATTTTGCATTAGACATACAAATTTTGGATATAATGTTTACTCTGAGTAAATATGTTATCTTTTGTGCAAAATATATGACATTTATATTCAAAATATTCCTGGTCTTACACGGAATCCAGCAATGTCAATTATATTATCCCAACTTTAGTCTGATTTATTATTTATAACTAAAAAGGTAAACAGTCTGGTATTCCCACACATTCATCTGGTAGGGAGGGTTGGGGGGGGGTGGGAAGGAGGAAGGGACCGGCGACCGACCACCTGGCACGTGTGAAGAATTTTTTTTTTTATTAACTGAAGATATTTGTTTTAGCTCATAAAATTCATACAAATTACCCGGCCAGAATATAATTTAAATTGCTGGAATTCTTACAATTTGATGATCATTTTGAATATAAACATCATATATTTTGCATTAGACATACAAATTTTAGATAAAATGTTTACTCTGAGTAGATATGTTCTCTTTTGTGCAAAATATATGACATTTATATTCAAAATATTCCTGGTCTTACAAGGAATCCAGCAATGTCAATTATATTATCCTAACTTTAATCTGAGGTATTATTTAATACAAAATGTTAAAATCTAAATTTTTCACCCAACCTTTCTCTTGAAGGGAGGATTGGTGGGGGGTGGGGGGAGGGTTGGGACTGACCGCCTTGTCGGAAGAGGGGGAAGGCAAGGTGGGGTACTTTGATTGACAGATAGTGTCCTGAAGATTATTATTTTTTTATTAACTGAAGATATTTGTTTTAGCTCATAAAATTCATACAAATTACCCGGCCAGAATATATACTTACATTGCTGGAATTTACAATTTGATGATCATTTTGGAATATAAACATCATAGATTTTGCATTAGACATACAATCTTAGATACAGGTTGTACCTCTCTAGTCCGGCATTCTGTGGTCCGGAACGATTTTAGTTTGTCCAATAGGTAGATAGGCAGATTTTTTATTTTTTTTATTTTTTTTGCTTCTCTGAATTATTATTATTATTACAGGAGTATTAAATTTTTGCCCCTCAGGCCCCAATGCGGGCCAGTGACCTATGCCCGGGTGGGCTAATCCCCTTAAAAAAAAAAAAAGCCCCGGGAAATTAAGTTTTGTTTACATACGGCAGTTCGGCTGCACTCAATCTCTCTCTCTGCTTGCCTATCCCAGCCGTTACCAACGCCTCTTCCCTCCCAGACCAGATATCCCTCCTCCTAGTCACAGGCCTGGCATTTGACATTATTAGGGACCTGCCACTCTTTGCCATAAACAGATAAAATGTACCGGGAACTTTCCCCCCCACACACTCATCATTCTCTCACTTTATGTAACTTGACAGAACCTATGACCCTTCAAGCTTTTACGCCCCACGTAATGAAATAAGTAAAAGCAAGTAGCCTGGCTATAACAACGCTAATTGTGTTCTTGTAAAATATCGTGTTATAGAAAATCGCGTAATAGAAATAACAGGGCTTATGGAGAAAATAGGGTTAGGTGCAGTTTACTCGAAATCGAAAAAATTTAGTAGTTAGCCTAACACAAAGGATAGCACAGTCTAAATAAATGTTACATTCATATCTAATAATGAAATCATACAGTAAATTTTACACTTTACCTTGAAAAAATATGAATGTAACTTGATGGGGGAGAAGGGTGATTTTGAGGTTGATAACATCAAGCTTCTCTTCAAGTGTTATATCCTTTCTTTTACGATAATCACCGGGAATTCTATCATCAGAATGCTTTTTGGAGATATTCTTCTTTACCATATTCACAGTTAATACCACAAAATTGGAGAAATAGTAAGCAAAAATCGCGTTATAGCAAACAAGCGATCACGTTATACAAATATTGTTCCGAATTCATAAATCGCGTTAGAGCAAATTCGCGTTATCAAAACACGCCAAGAGAAGCAGAACCTACTTGTATGAAATTACATTCTGTTGGCGCTGTAAACGCTTCTGCAGGCTTCAATTTGCACAGGATGGGCAGTTCATTAAACTAGTCTCAAAATCTGAAATCTGGAATCTGCTTGTCCATACAGAGTACAACATTTAACCCTTCAATATAT